AGTGTCGAGACAGGAGACACTGGAATCCGACAAGGGAACGTTCGACTTCACAACCATGAACTCACACAAAAAAAATGATCCGCAACCATGAAGGCGCATTCGCCGTGAAATTCCAATATGGCCCTGGGCCAATCATCCACTCAACTCCAATTACCGATTCTCATACCCACACCGACGATCCCAGCCGTTGCGTGCTAACTTCCGCCGCTGCGATCGTCATCCCGTTGTCGCAAGCTCGACACGGCTCGTCCGGATCCCACAGTTCGTCGTGGCGATCAAGCGCGCAACCGGACAGCCTACCGTCAGCCCGACAGAACTTTTTGACTCGCACCAAACGCATCACTTAGCCACTATTTCCCGGAAGTTGGCTTGCGAGTGGAAAATGTAAGAGCGATTTGCGGGCGCGCTTGCGGAATTTATAGTTGCGAGAAAGAAGACAGACGAGGGAGAAGACAAAGGAGAAATCGAGGTGTAAGAGGGGAAGATTCAGCGAGGGGTGCTCAAGGGAAGCCATATTGATCCTTCGGAACCCAATGTTCAGCCAATCAGATTCGTCGCACAATAGGAAAATCCTCTTACTCAACGCGTCTGATTGGTGAGCGAGGGTACTCGAAGGATCAACTGGGCTTCGAGAGCCAAGGTTGAAGAGTGAGAAGGAAAGAGGCGCGAGAAGCAGCGCGGGACGGGTCCAAGATTCAAATGATCAAGAAAGGGAAAACAGGCGCGCAAAGAGCAGAAAGAGGGAAAACAGTTGAGATAGGAGAAGAAGAGGAAGGGGGGGAAAGGAGAGAGAAGAGAGCACGGGGGGAAAACGACGTGGGAAATAAGGAGGAGGAAGCTCGCATGCGCGGCGCCGACAGCAAGAGAAAAAAACACCAAAATAGTTACAGCTTGCCTATGTCCTAAACCAATTCAAAAATTGAAATCACCATATCCGCGTGCGAAAGTGGACGCGGAAAAAGAAAGTCCTATGCCTGTCCGTATTCTCACAAAATTCTTAGAGTTTTCTCTGTCGTGACCGAGAACATTCATGCACAAAAAGGACACGTCGGGTTCCGCTTATTCCGGAATTCCTAACTGTCGAGCCCGATTCCTAGTGCGCTCGCTAAGGCGCACGCAATTTCCCATGCATTTCTCGAATTACAAAAAGCAGAATTCCAAGAATCAATAGAACCTCCAAAAAATGAGGGTCTAAACAAGGCACATGAAATCAAGAAAAGCGACGGGGGCTTTGTTGGGTCAGTATGATACAAAAGAGGGAATAGAGTCAAGGGGTACGAAAGATAGCACGGGGTCGGGAAGTGGTTCGTCACATATGTGACGGGCAGGGGGTTCCAAAACTATGCGATCTCCTGATTGCATGAAAACTTGAACAAAGGAAGTGGGAGGAGACGAAGAAGCAGGAAGAGGAGAAGCTTAGATCAGCACAATCCATGTCAACAGAGAAAATTGAGTCGGGGCATGCGTTGGCGACAACATCCGTGGCAAGATCTCCGTTATGCATGTCGGCTTGTGCTCTCTCGGATCCCCATCCCTTGGAGTCCTGTCATATGCAACCCCCTGCCCTTCAATCTTCGGAGATCGTCCAGGTGGCACCATCATGGTCCATCAGGTCTCCGTGTGCTCTGCACTCCCAGTCCAGCGCAATCCGTCGAATCAGAGCATGTGTTGACGTCATCGTCAATGGTGTGAGCTTCGTGAAACTGTTGATTCGTGTTGCTCGGGGGACACGTGTCAATTTCTCCAGTCGATCGCCACGCTGAGAACGGTCATTGACAAGAAGAGGGTGGGATGCGCCGCCATCGTGACACGTGGCGGGTATCAGCGCCGCGTGGGGATGGGAAAGTAGACATTGTACATGGAGGGGTGTCGACGGGGAGGGTTAGGGGGAAGTGGGGGTAAGTAGCGGTTCATCCCTTCCTCTGTCACTGGAAGCTCCTCGTAGCGGATGATCCGGTGAAAGCGGGGAAATCGGTCGCCGCTGTGAGGGAGGGAGGCGAGATAGTCAGGGTAGAGGGTGGAGAAAGTGCGAAAGAGTGCCGCACGAAATAACTCGTGATGGCCACATGCGGGGATGGTTCCTGTGATTACGCAGTAGACTTCTACTGCGTTGCTCTGCTCCCACGCGGCACTAAACAAAAGGACATGCAAATAGAACGCGGGGGTTGCACATTGAAGGGAAGGATGGGGATGGACGGTGACGGCGAGGCGTGTGGAGTAGAAGTGATGGAAGGTATCGGGAGGGAAGGGGTTGCGAGTGAAGGTGACGGGGGTATAGATTTGACAGAGGGTGAGGTAATCAAGGGGACGGCGGGATAATGACCGGGGACGAAGGCCGATCCCCCGTATCGGTACGTGGACGAACTGGGGGACGGGTTGAGGTGCAGAGGGAGGGGGATCGGCTCCGTCTCCGTCGCGATGCGCTCGGAGCCGCGGTTGCTGGGTCGCCATCTTCGGGCTTGGGGGGATCTAGATCCCGGGTCGGGTCGTCGTTGATGCGCAGGTTCGCCTCGCTGGCGAACTCCAGCTGGCTTTTCCCAGCGGCGATCTTTTCCCCCTTACGTGCCGCCTCGGGATCTTCCGCTTCCGTGCCTGTGCGCGCCGCTTCTTCCGGCAAGGTCTCCCACTCCGATCCGGCTTCCTCCTCTTCGTCTTCTTCTTCTTCTTCTTCGTCTTCTTCTTCTTCACTTTGCTCTCCCTCGCTGTGCTCACTGTAACTCCCTTCCTCCGATGTCTCTTCTTCGGCGTCGCCCTCTTCTTCGGCGTCGCCCTCTTCTTCGGTGGCTTCTTCTTCTCCTTCGACCGCCTCCTCGGACGTATCTTGCTTCGGATAGAAGGCAAGATTGATGATTCCGGACGGCTCCAAGTACTCCTGCCGCGACGGCAGGGCGCTTTCACTCCCCGGTTCCTCCAAGCACGCAGTCCACTGTAGATACGGAGCCAATGTCCGTGTAAGGACGTGCGGAGCCGGACTCTCGTCACTTTGCAAAACAATATCGAGAGAGAGGTCGTCGACCAGTTGCAAAAGCGGGACAGCGAGTTCCTGGACAATTAGCTAGCGATGGCCCGGCCACACCGATCCGAAAAGAAAACCGAGAAGATCGCCCTCTACGTCAGTTCTTCAAGTCTGGATAATCAGCAGCTCCAGGTACTCAATCCACCCACGATGCTCGTCGGTCCGCGTCCACTTCACCTCCACTCGGGCCAAGCACACAGACAAATCGACAAAAGTCTCGCGCCACGCCCGCCAATACCTGGGATCGAGGAGCGGGACGGCAAGGGGCTCGAGCAAGAAGGAAAGACGAGGATGAAGATCGGATTTCCAGAAGGTGGGGAAAAGAGAAGGAAGGCCGAAGGTGGAAAGAGGAGCGAGAGGAGCGGCGCGGTTCATTGGGGGCGTTGGAAGGGGACGAGTGTGGGGAGCACAACTGCCGACTGGCGTGTAGAGGTGCGGATCTCGTCGAAGTCAGTCCCGTACGTTGGGACGAGGTTGCACCCGGGGCACGCAAGACCGTGATGCCACTCAGCCGATAACTGCTGCGTCCACTCCCGTAATGAGGTCAAGATCGCGGTATGCCGAAGCGGGCTGACCGCGTTGATATCGCCGTTGAAGGCAGCGACCGTGGTGACGTGGCTCGTTCCTGGAGCCGCCCACCGATGAAAGGCCACCACCTCTGCCAATACTACTGCCTGCGGACTTTCTGCAAATCGGAACGCAGCGGCGGCACACACACCCTCGGTGCAGAAGAACTGCGCCAGTCGTCGAAGATCGGGACTGAGCCGCGGATGACGAACTTGCTGGATCTCCAAGATGTAGCCACGTGGCTGCAGCAGATGATTGCCAAGAGCTTGCTCCATGATGAAACTCATGGTGAGGATGGGGAAGAAGATGAGAGATGGGAACAAAAGGGAGAGAACGAGGCGGGAGCTAGATCGTCGTCGTCCTCTTCTTCAGTGGAGGAGGGAAACGAAGGGAGATCAGAGGGAGGGAGCGGACGGATATAAGAGGTATGGCGGACGATGGGGACAAAGTTATGGCTGGCGCTGGCCTCGGCCGCAATGCGCACCGTGTTGGCACCGTTGGGTCCGAGCTCGACAACGCGGAAACGGCCAGGGAACTTGGGAGCGAGTTTCCGGTCACGTGCGCATTTACGTACCTGCACCAGGTCCCCTAATTTATTGATGTTGGGGACCGGCGTTTCCATTTCGGGCCTCGTAGCTACGCACTTGCCTCCCGTGGGCTACATCAATCATTTTCTGTCTCTTTCGGGCTAGCTTCGGGACGGCCCTTTCCATTAAATCGGCGTACCTTTTGGCCTTGGCCTTAAGGGCGGCACGCGTGTCTCTACCCCCTGCTTCGACAATTTCCGAGTTGGCCCGGTAATCGACACATGGGAGGCTATTGGTACGAAGCTGAAAGGGGGTGAACCCGTGGATTCGTGAGGGGTGGCCCGGTGAATTCCGACGATTTGGTATACGATCTCGGGCCATAGACGTGTGTCACTCGCCGCTAGATTTCTACGAAGAGCAGTCTTAATCATGCGATTGGCATTTTCGGCCAACCCATTCGACTGGGAAACGTGGGTTGCCGTGTGTCGAAGTGTAATACCTCGGCGTGCGAGCAACTCCTCCGCCTCGCCTTTGAATTCGGACCCGTTGTCGGTTAGAATCTCTTCCGTATCTAGGTGGGTATAGAGGAACCGATCGATATACGTGGCTATTTCTGCGGCCTTACGGGTTTTGCAGGGGTAGACCTCGATGTATTTGGAAAAATGATCTATTAAAACTAAAAGGATGGAATATTCCCAACGGTTTGGGCCAGGTGGCACGTCGATATCTGTCGTGGTCATACTGACTCGCTGGAAAAGGGCGCTCTACTTCCGTCGGCACTATCGTGTTTGGTCCCCGTATTGGGGCACGGTCGGCGGCACAGACCAGGCAGTTGACGACCACGTATCTGACATCGTACCGTATATTAGACCAGAACCATCGATTCTGATCTATAGTTGCTTCAGTGACACGTATCGCGAAATGAGCGACCTGCTCTTCGTGAGCAGATCGGGTCCAGTCATATCTCTGGAATGGATGGGGAACCGTCAACCACAAACCCGATCCGTCATTTTAACGCTTTTCCAGGTGACCGTTGATCCATCGGTATTCCCGGGACCTCTCGGTAGCCCGACGTTTGTCGTGCTTAGTGAGATGATCCAATGGTAAACCGGCCAATTTAACTAATAGAATTTTATCCGTCCAGACCTCCGCTCGTCGGTATTTCTCGTCATATTCAGGGCCGTCCGTTCGGGCAGCCTCGAATCGAGCCTCGGTGGGGAGTTTGTCTGTTCTACACAGAGGGACTTCCATACCCTACTACTCGTTCGGTATCGAACGCATCCACCATGCGCACGAGTGACACACGTGGCACAGTCCACCCAATCAACGAATCCAGTCTCAAAAGGATGATAGTCCACCCCATAAACCCGTGTAATACACGTACAAAAATAGCAGAATTTATCGGGAAGGGTGGCGAAGAAGGCCGAGGAGGTGTGATGGGCGGAATCAGCAGGGGAAGAGGGGCTTGCAGAGATAGGTGGGGTAGCCATGATGAGAGGGGAGGAGAGAGAGAGAGACCAGGGCTGCAGAGAGGGTGGAACCAAGGCCCCGTGTCACTCACTCCTTCGACAGGATTTCCACTTGCCCGTACCGCGGTCCATTCTCATCCTTCGGCTCGTTCCACGGAATCACCTCCTCGCTTTTGGGGACCTTCTCGGGTCGGTGCAGTCGTGTCAATCCGTCAGCATTCCCGTGCCTCTCGTGCTTTCGATGATGAATGTCAAAGTCCATGCTATGCAGCACCGTTGCCCATCTCCCGATCATGCCCGGGTAGTCCTTAGATTTCTTCAGGGCTAATAATGACTCATGATCGGTGACCAGCGTGAACTTCCGCCCGTATAGATAGGCTCGAAAGTGACTGATCCTTCACAGAGCCGCATAGCATTCTCCTGTCGGGGCGGCGTAATTGCGCTTGCAGGCAGGCACCGACTTAGACGCGTATTCCACCACGTATTCGAGCCCGCCCGGTCCCACCTGGGCCAAGATCGCTGAGATTGCCTCCGGCTACCAGTCCGTGATGAGGACAAAAGGCTTTTCGGGATCCGGCCTTATAAGGACCAGAGCCGAAATAAGAGTTGCCTTGAGTTTCGAAAACGCTTGATCACATTCTGGCGTCCAAATCAACGGTTGATCCTTTTTCAACAGATTCGTGAGGGGACCCGCAATCGCCGCAAAGCCTTTGATAAACCTTCGGTAGTACGAGGCCAGGCCCAGAAAGGCGCGAACTTGAGTGATAGTCATTGGTACGGGCGCGTCTCTCACTGCTGCCACCTTTTGCGGTTCCGGTCTGAGTCCCTGGTCCGTCACCGCGTGTCCCAGGAAGGAAATGGTGGTGAGAAAGAACTGACATTTCTCAAGCGCCACCTTGAAACCGGCATCCTTCAATGCATGCAGCGTCCATTCGATGTGCTGCACATGTCCCTCGTAAGAACTCGAGTACACCAGAATATCGTCCATGTACACAATCACGCAATAGTTAACGATACTCTGCGTCAGACATGTCTTCCACACAAAGTTATGAAAAGCCATGTTCATGGTTCGCTGAAAGGTTGCTGGAGCATTGCAGATGCCCATTGGACATCGAACCCATTGCCAAGTACCTTCGAACAACACAAACGCCGTTTTTTTATGGTCCTCCTCTCGAACAAGAAGATGATGAAACCCATAAAGAACATCAAACTTACTGAAAAATCGAGCACTCCCAATGACATCCAACAACTCATCAATCCGGGGAAGGGGGTACACATCTTTGATCGTGATATCGTTCAATTTTCGATAATCGATACATATGCGAATCCCTCCGGCCTTTTTGGGCACGATTACCACCGGAAACGACCAAGGTCCTATAGCGGGTTTGATCCATCCATTAGATTTGAATTCCTTGATTCGCTGAAACGCGGCCGCCCGTTGGGCTGGCCAGTATCGGTAGGGAACGCAGCTAATGGGTGGATGATCCCCCGTAAGGATGACATGCTCAATCACGTTAGACAGTCCGATATCGTTATCGCGCACACTTAATACCTCTACGTAACCATTCAAGACGTTAATCATTGATTTTCAAAATTCCAGGGGGACGTGATTAGGTGGAGTGACTGTCGGTCGATCGGGTATCTCAAGGGGCAGATCGATCCAATCAGTAGGCCGATTCGGTCGGTCATGAACGCTAGAGAAAATAGAGCTGCTAGTGCGGACAGGAAACACAGTCGCAATCATCTGGGATTTAGCAGGGTTAATCATCTCGGTTTCTTTAACTTCGGCGTCAGTTTCCGAGTCGGCCGTAGTTTCTTTCATGGTTAGTCATGTTAAATCCACCATTTCCTGCATTAGATCGGGCACATCGTCGACGGGAGCTTCGGCTTCCCGTTTTATCAGAGCGATGGTCGCTCCTGTTGTAAGTAGCGACCTTGGAGGAGAAACAAAAACATCCAGGTATTGTTTCACCTGTTGATAGCGTGCTGGAAGGGAAAGTGTTCCCTCGTACAAAGTGCGAGGGGGTTCCAAATCGTCTGCTAGGTCAGATATTTGCAAAATGGGTTCCCCGAGAAAGGTCGAAGATCCGATCGGGGCTCCCGCAGACGCGAGCGTGTTATCTTCCAGGCTCAAGTGGAAAGTTCGTGTGGTTCTGGGAACCATCCGAAATTCCTCTGGAGTTTCGTGCTCGAAAAGTTCGACTAAGTGTTTCCATTCACTCTCACTAGGCATCTCTTCTTCGCACTCCTGCTCTTCGAATCCGCTACTATTATCCGGAGATGGAAATTCCTCGTGATCGGAACCTTGAATCATCCCTATTCGAGCAGAATTAGGATTTTTTTTTACTGTTCGGGTTGAAATCCGCAACGGAACTGTCCGAGGCTTTCCTCCTATTTGCGTAAGCACCAACTGTTTGGAATCGAATTGCATGCGGGCACCTACCGCCATTGCCCAAGGCAGTCCCAACAACACCGAATATGAGTGCACATCTATGACCAAGGCGTTAACGAGGATGTGTACTCGTCCAACTTTCACGGCCACATTCTCAATGACTCTTATGATATTCATTGCTTCCTCGTCAGCAGAGACGTAATTGTCCTTGCCGGATTGAGGGAGAATCGAGTTGATTCGTCTCGTTCTTTCACCGTATCTAATGATATAGCGACCGCGGAGGAGCCAGTATCGATGAGGGCGTTAAAAGGTTTGCCCCATACTTCGCAATCACATTCAGCACTTTTCCACAACACTGGTCGAGCTCGCACGAAATGATATTTCTCGGCTAAAGAAATCGTAGCTACTCGCGCTGCTTCGGGTTCACCAACTTCGGGTTCGGGTGGTGCAACACCCTCTGCTTCTTCTTCCTTCTTCTTTTGCAACATTCGCTGTATGCGCTGGTATGTAAAGCGTTTTTTATTCTTCTGACATTGTTGCAGCAGCTTGTCATTTGCAGCTTCGGATATGGTGAGCAAATGTCCTACTGGGATCGGAACGCGAATGCCCAATTGCTTAAGCGTTCGTAGTACATCAATTTCTCCCGTCCGAAATTGTGGTCCGGGGTTAGATTTGCGTTCGACCCAGTCAAGATCGTCATGGGCCGGTCGGATTGCTCCGACCATGTCGGTGAGATGAAGGTATTCGACCGGATCAACCACGTCAGCAGCTTCGGAAGAAGAAGTCCCTGAGGTCGATGCAACTGCCATTGAGGGGGAAGGTCGCTCAGGGGCGTACGCAATGATCTCCTCATTTCGGGCCGTATCCATTAGTGCGGCTACTCGTCGTTGATTCAGAGCTACGGGGGCTGCGGCAGGTGGGGGCTGATTTCGTTTTGGCTGCGGACAGTTCCGGGCAAAATGCCCGAGCTGTTTGCAATTGTAACACTCGATTTCCCCTGCCAGGGTAGCTGCATGAGGGAACTGCGGTGCATGGCCAGGTGCAGGCGGGGCAGGCAAAAGTGGGAACGATGCAGGGGCAGGTCGAGCAGGAGCTGAGTTGGGCTTAATTAGCTTGCTCATTATCTGTTCCCTTCGATTCATGTGAGCCGCCTGCATTTGAACCAGATTGCTCATCCATTCTGATTGTTTGGTAGTAGCTGTATGGATCATCTGTGCCAAATGCATATTGGTTATAGACATAGAGGCAGGATCTTGGGAGCCTCTGGGTTTAACAGTTGCTACCTGTTGGTTCATTGAGAGAGTCGGAGGAGGGGAAGGAGGAGCCGGCGGGATATCAGAGGCGAACCCTTCAAAAAGGTCATGACCAGGCCGGGGATAGAGTCGTCCTACCGCTTGTAACCACGATCGTCGTTTCGCCGCTACATCTTGAATCGTGTCTGTAATGTCTTCGTCTCCCTGACTGATATACTTCTTTGTATCCGTCAGGTCTAACTCAAGCGCTTTGGTGATGATAGCAGACAACTGGTTCGTTTTAGGGGGAACCTTTTTCTGCAACTTAGCTTTTAGCGCCGAATTTCGTAGATGATCGATGAACAAATCTCGGACGGACTTTTCATCTCGCCCTGATTTGTCCAACGTAGTTTGGAATCAATCCACGAAGTCAGGCAGCAACTCCCCTAGTTCTTGCGGTCGAGTTTTGAGCACATACCAAGCGGCGTCTTCGCTGACCGTATCAAATCTGGCCAAGAACACTTGCTTGAAGGTGTTCCAATCTACCCATCTGTGTTTCCTAAACCAATCATACGTCGTGTTGCGAAGCAGCAAGGTGATGACGCGGGGGAGATCTTCCGCACTATATCCTTGAGCTTGGACGGCTTCCAACCAAGCTTTGGGGTGGGTGTGATTAGGAAAGAAAGGAAAAGCGGCGGGAATACTAACAATCACCCTGGGGGAGGCTGCGTTGCCGTCGGCCATTGGCATAGCCGGTCTAGCCTCACCAGATCTTGATCTGGTCACCGGGCGATCTCGACGAGCAGGTTGAGGACTTTTTCTACCTTTCGCCAGCTCGACTTACTATCATCAGAACCGACACGTGTCGGCTCCGATACCAACCTCACGCCCTGTGCTGTCTTCCGTTCGGAGTGCTAAGGGTGTGGAAAGAAGGCCCGGGAAAACAGCAAGATGGGGTGTGCCAAGGATTTTTGGAAAATTGAGTGTGGCGACACAGACAAAACTGAAATCCCCCGTGTTGGCCCGATGAAGTAAGTCGGTTGCTTTCGCGCGTCGTGGAATGCGCGCGAGGGCATGGCGCGAGAAGAGAAAAATCCAAATTCAATCCAAAAAGTATTGTCGAACTTCCCACCACGCTATGGATCTTTGTTTAGAGCGGAAGGGCTTCGGTACACTCCGCGTGTCCCGTTTCCTTATCAAGTCCCGACGTCGCTCGTTGGTCAGTTCCGAGTCCGACGTAGAGGGTCTCAGCCACGTGGCTCTTTCCTTGTGCTCGTCTTCACTCCGTATTCGGTAGTGGAAGCCCTTTGATTTGTAGCGATCGAAACGTTGGCACTCAGTGCACAGGGTTCGAGGCCAATGGGGTCGTCCACGGAATGACGATCGGCTCGTTAAATGGCAATAGTACTGAGTAAGGCGGGTAGTGCCTATCGACAATGACAAAGCCCGCATCCACGAATCCAGAACAACGATTTTCGGGAGGGAAGTAATATCGTCCGCCGATCCGTGCGACAGCTTCTCGTACGTCCCACTCGCAAACACGTGTCATTTCCTCGTTGTAAGGGAAGGGGCGCGTTGGCGAGGGGGATACGGGAGGCTGGCGCCCGATCGAGGTACGCCCATCAGTCCACATCTCAATTGTAAAAACCAACTATCATTTTCTTCCTTTCGACACGAGGGAAGCATCT